ACTCTGAGGCTATGAACATGGGTATTCATGGATCTCCATAGCGTGCAACCTTTAATTCTTTTGGGAGTACGCCCAAGAATAGCATATCTGGACCAAACAGTATTTCTTCATGTAATCTTTTGAAGAATCTCCGCAGTGATTTCCATACTGGCTGTGTTAGTTTACATTCCCACCAGCAATGCAGAGTGTTCCTGCTTCCTGCATCCTCGCCAGCACTCATTGGTTTTTGTATTCTTGATAATAGCTATTCCAAGTTGGGAGGGAATCTCAATATAATTTTAATTTGCATCTCTCTGGTGATGGATAAGATTTCAGAACAATTTTTTTCACATACATTTTGGCCATTTCAACTTTCTTCATGAAGTATTTATTCAGTTCACTTACCTGCTCTTTATTGCCATTCATTGTTTCATGGGCGTTAATTTTTAAAAGTTCTGCAGACATTCTAGACATTAACTCTCTTTCAGAAGCATAGCCAGCAAAGCTTTGCTCCCATTCAGTGGCTGTCTCTTCACTCAGTCAGTATTTTCTTTGCCATGCGGAGACGTTTTAATTTGATGTGGTCCTATTTGTTGATTCTTGATATTATTTTCCTGTGCTTTTGGAGTTCTGTTCAGGAAGTCTTTGACCGTGCCTAGGGTGTCAAGTGTTTTTTCTATGTTGTTTCAGTATTCTGCTTTTATATTGAAGTCTTTCACTCATTTTGATTTTATTTTAGTACATCATGAAAGATAGGTATCTAGTTCCAATTTTGTGCGGGTTTTCCCCATATCATTTGTTAAAGAGATTGTCTTTTCTCCAGCATGTTTTTGCCCTTTTGTAAAAAATCAGATGGCTGCAGATACTTGGGTTTGTTTCTGTGTCTTTCACTCAATGACACTCGTCTGCATTTCTGTTTTTACGGCTTTGTAGTATAGCTTGAAGTCTAGGGTAGCGATGTCTTTGGCATTGCTCTTTTTGCTCAGGGTTGCTTTGAGTACTCTGGGTTCTTCTTAATTCCAGAAAATTTTAAGAATGATTTTTCCTAGTTTTGCAAAGAATGCTGTTGGTATTTTAATAGGGACTATGTTGAATCTATAAGTTGCTTTTGGTAATATAACTATTTTAACAATGTCAATTCTACCAACCCAAGAAACAGGGATATCTTTCCATTTTCTAATGTCCTCTTCAATTTTTTTCAGAGTTCTGTAATTTTTGTTATAGACAGCTTTCTTTTCTTGGTTAGGTTGACTCCTAGGTATTTAATATTTTTGAAGCTATTATGCATGGAATTATTTTCCTGATTTCTCTCTCAGTGAGTTTACTATTGGTGTAGAGGAATGTGATCGATTTTTGTGTACTGAAATTAAAATTGACAACACAACCCAATGGATCAGTTGGTTTGTTGAAAAAATAAACAAGATTGATAAACAGCCAAACTCACAAAAAGAAAAAGAAGGCCCAAATTAATGAAATTAGAAATGAAAAAGGTGAAATACAACAGACAACACTGAAGTTCAGAGAATCACCAAAGTATTTTTGAAATTTATATTCCAACAAACTGGAGGATCTGGAAGAAATGGATAATTTCCTGGACATATATGATCTACCAAAATTGATCCAAAAAGATAGAAGAAAATCTAAACATATCAATAACATAAACATGTTATTGCTTAGAAATGAAGCAATGACACTGAAGTAGTAATTAAACTACAAACTAGGAAGAGCCTAGGACTAGAAGAGTTTATAGCTGAATTCTACCATAACTTTAGAGAAAAACTAACACCAAGCTTCCCATATAATGGAGAAAGAATCTTTCTTAATGCCATTTTTATTTTAATGGAATTTGTTATCACATAATTATAGTCCAAAATGTCAGAATAAAAAGAACATCTTCCGTACCACGTGTACGTATGTGTAAGTCACTGAAAATATCTGTTTTGTACCTGAGATCACTTTTTTTTTTTTTTTGGTTTTTCTCCAGTACCGGGAACCGAACTCATGACCTTGCGCATGCCAGGCAGGCGCTTTTGCCGCTGAGCTAAATCCCCAGCCCTGAGATCACTTTTAATCCGAGCCAGGCTACTGTCCTACAAAGGGACAGAGCTACCAAAGAAGTATCATAGTTTGAGAAAGAAAGCTACCAACATCTACACAACCAGTCTGACCAACCTTGAGAGTGACTCCTAAATGCCAAACGTGCTGAGAAATGCAGAGGACAGAGTGAATTAAATCACCGTGTTTCTTTTCTAGAAAGACAATATTAGAAAAGATCTCAATCAATTCTTATTCTTTTATGAAATGGTAAAAAAATCACTAAATACATCCTCTCCTATGAAGGTCACCAACTGTTGGACTGCAGACACTGGAGGTCTGAAGGTTGCTTAGTACTATTTAATCCAATGCCCATATTTTACAGACAAAGAGAAACACAGAAAAAATGAAAGAACTTATCTAAAATTGCAGCTGAGGGCCGGGGATATAGCTCAGTGGCACAGCGCCTACCTCGCTAGCGCAAGGTCCTGGGTTTGATTCCTGGTACCAAATAAATAAATAAATAAATAAAATAAATAAATAAAAAAAATTACAGCTGAGACTGGAACCCAAATTTCCTGCCTTCCAATCAAGTGCTCTTCAGAGTACATTGCCTCTCTCGGATTCCAGTGGGTTATTCTTAGCCCTGCTTCTTCCCGTCATTAGGCCGCAGCAAACCATATTAACTGGATTCAGAGGAGTGGAGCTCGTGCCCTGTTCTCCTCTCATCTTCTCCGTTACAGAGTTTCAGTGTAAAAGCTAACTTGATAAATTATTGAAGACCCTCTCTGGCATGGGCAGTAGGGAGCGTCCCAAACCAAGTAAGGAACATTTCTTACCCCAGGGGAATTTGCCGGAAATATCAACATTCAGGACAGTATCCTCAGATGCCAGAGGTAGATGTGCAAAGTTCGTCATCACCCAGTTACATTTTCTGATGGAAATGTCCTTTTTTTAATTGACTTTCAATTTCCACAGCCCCGGAATAAAAATCATGAAGCCGCTTCCTCTCTGGTGTGAGAGTGTGCACAACCAGTGTGCAATCCTTGTTCTACTGTCAGCCAGCTGTTTCTGAAACTTTGTGCAGGACATTCCCTTGTAGCTTTATCTCCTCAGTGAGCAAAAGGAGAACACCAGCCTCCTGTGACTCACCTTCCTTTTCAAATTCAATTAAATCCAAGGCACTGGCTATAATCAAATCCCTCCCCTTCCTCTCCTTTTTCCTTTCCACTTCTCCATTCCTGGATTATTGCTAACAGTCTTCAAGCTGTTAGGTGTAGGTGTGACTTGCTGACAGCAGTTTTAAAGAGAGAGTAGTCTGGAGGTATATGAGTCACGCTAGATGCTAGAAAGCCAATTAAGAGGTCCTTTAGAACAAAAATCAATCACAAACTAAAAGCCTGTCATTCAAAACCTGGCTTCCAGTGGCCTTTCTGATTTATTTCTAATGACACTGTATGTTCCTCTAATTGGGCTGCTACAACAAAATATTATAAACTGGGTACATGAGCAACAGAAATTTCTCTCTCAGAGTCGTAGAGGCTGGAAGTCTGAGATCAGGGTGCTGGCACAGCCAGGTTTGGTGAGCGCACCCTCCTGGACTGCGGAAGGCCAGGTTCTCACTGCGGCCTCCACACGAGGGAAGGCACAAATGGACTCCTGGGGCCTGTTTTATGAGGACCCTATTTTTACTCAGGAGGGCTCCCCTCAGGCCCTAATCACATCTCACGCCCCAAAAGGCCCGCTTCCAGTACCACTGGAAGAGTTTAACACGGGAATAGGTGGGGCGCAAACATGCAGACCCAGCGCTCCTCACGCACAGCCTCCCAGCCGTCTCCACATCTAACGCTACTGTCCACAGCTTCCTGTGTACGAAGTTTAACCTTTTTTGTAAACTTTATTCTAGTAGTTTTTTTTTTAAGGCCATTTTCTTCTATGGAGTCAGTAATCTTTCCTTCCCCTTAAAAAACACTTCAAATACAAATAATAATCCCCTTGCCAGGGGCTGGGAATTTAGCTCAGCGGCAAAGCGCCTGCCTGGCAAGCGCAAGGTCGTGAGTTTGGTTCCCGGTACCGGAGAAAAACCAAAAAAAAAAAATAATCCCCTTGCCTAACTCCTTCTGGTATTAACACTGTAAGCATAAAAGAAATGATATGCAAAAATTTTAAACTGACATCAATGGGAGAATACAGTATATAAAGAATATAAATTATTTCCTTTAGTTTTCTTCCTATTTTGCAAATTAAAATAATCAGTTGTTAATCTCTTTATAGAAAATAATATGTATTTCTAAATTATTTTAGAATATTTAATAAGAAGAATATTAAAATACATTTTCTTGACTATATGCAGTTTCTGATATATGATGTTTGGACAAAAAGATGTAAACTGTTATCAATTAACATGTCTGATTTAGGCAGATTTCAAGCAAGTACTGAGCAGCGTTACAGAAATGCTGGCAGAGTAACTTACTCCCTTAATGGGTAGGTTCTGAAGATATTTCAGTCATCAAATCATCAGTGCCAATCCGAGCAAATGATTACCATGGTAAGACCGATAGAGAAGCAACTGGGAGAACTTAGAATTTTATTTTCTCCTCTTTTGAATTTGCTTGTTGCTGCCTAAACTCTAATCTGAATACTTGGTTCAAGAGAAGGCCAGGATGAGAGGAACAAGTAGGTTTCAGGAGCAGAGTCCTGCAGGTCCCTCCAGCCCTCCGAGCACCCCAGCTCAGACCCCGCTGTCACACCCTCTCATGTGTGACAGAGAGATTTTCCCACGAAAAGAGTTTCAAGCAATTTTAGTTCCCATCACTACTGTCCATTTGTCATAACTCAAGAAAATATCCATTCTATTATGAAAAGATTCTGTTATCCCACATGTGTTAATTGTGATTGAGACCAGAGACATACAAACTTTCAAAGAAACAATTGAAAGGGAACATCTGTAAATAATTCCCCCTATTCTTTGTTGTTCTGCTACTCACGGCAAATCTTCCAATCTGGAGGCTTCGTGTCTTGGATCCAATAGATCATAACCACATTCATTGTAGATTTCCAAATAGGAAATGTGTGTTGTATATATTTTGCTGCTGTCCTGATTGGAAAAGGGAAGACATTATTTAATGACTATAAATAACAATTGGGCTTAGAGAAAGATGAGCACATTCATCACGATGGTTTCCTCACATTTTCTTTCCTTTTCTCTCTCACTTTATATGGTTTGCATTTTCAGTCCGTGACACTTTCAAGTTGCCAGTTACCATATGCATGAAGCTTTTTTTTTTTTTTATGGCCAACACCCATGATTACAAGTAACTTCAGTCTGTTATTTTTTATTGGTTCCACGTTATACATAAAAAGTCAATATACACTTAAAATGAGCCAACTTGGTTGCAGAACTGTATAACACACCATTTTTCACTTTTCAGACCCCCTCAAAAGGTTATTAAGAAAAAACCAGCTTATGTTCTGTGAATAGTCTATTCATAAGAGAACACAGATCATTACTTTGGTTCAAAAATTTCAGTAGCAAATAGTTTCCATCATCATAATTTTTTTTACTTTTCTAGTATTCAAAAATTTTTGATGACATAGACAGATAATAGTGAAAGTAAAGTCGGGGGGATACAAGACAGCTTAGAGCAGTCAGGTAAGAACAGACAGACACTAACAATTAATTCTCTGTCTATACATTGTTTCCTGGGTTAATTTTCCTGGCCCAAGAGGGCGAATCAGAGACTTTCAGCTGCTGGTTAGAGAAAGGTGTTTTCTGTGGCCATGGCCAAAATGTAGTGATGTGTACATCGATGTCAGGAAGCTGAAAGTCAAGCTAATCCGACTTCATTTCCACACTGTCCGAAGACAGCAAGGACCTGCTCCCTCTGAGCTGGAAAACTGCGGGAATGTTTCTCAGTTCCTGAGAAAATTCCAAGTTTTGCTTTCAAAGCAAAATATCAACTAATGCTTTCTGATCCTTCCTACACACAAATGCTTCCATTTCTGCAAATATCATCATGGTCCTCATAAGGAAAGAGTATGCTTGGGTCTTGCAGCAGGAAGACTGCCTGGGTCAAAGTGGGTAGTGACACAGAATGGGCGGCAGGTGACCCTTCTGACTGCTTCTCACCCTCACAAATAGGTTTTGCTCAAAGGGAGAGAGGACCAGGTCCTAGAGAGCTGGGAGAGAACAGTGGGCTGCAAATCAAAAGCTGAAATCCTCATCCAACCAGCTGTGAGCCCAACCGTCAGACCCCGCTAGAGCGAGGAAGTGGGAGAATAAAGCCCTATGTGTTCTTTGGTTTCATGTTAACAATTCTTTTGTCCTTAAATGGTTCAAACTGTCCAAATAAAGATGTTACCACCTCATAATGATAAAATGATACATGAAAAATTAAGGTAACTCCCAGCTAATGCATGATTGTAATAAAAACACTTTAAGCTAGAGCAGAAATGCCATATCCTGGGGTTCTGTGAAGGTGACGACGTGGGCTGGATCCCTGCTAAGCACGTTTCTCTCAACCAGATGCTGAACATCTTGCTGCTGTGAACGACTCTCGTGCTTATCCCGACAAACGGACTGTTGAGTGCACGGGTGTCCTGGTTTAGTGAAGGGACCATTTCAACAGGATTCTTTGGTTGTGGCTTGGCTTAGCACAGGTAGAGACTCTGTGGCCGTCAGTCTGATCTAATGCTTCCCAAAGAAGCCCACGAAATACCCCCAGGAAACAGTGTCTCACGGTAGGTATAGATATATATTACTTTCTGCTCCTCTCTGGAAGAGTCTCAGGGCATGGGAAAGGTAAGGGATCCTTCAGCAACATTGCTGCTTAAACCAACGTTAAAAGTAACTTATCGGAACATGTATGAAATATCCCCAAGACCATGGTCTGAAACTGTAGCATACATTGAGTTCTTCTTACCATCAGACGGATCTGGGTTTGAATACCGGATCTTCCCTTTATAACTGAGTGAGCCCGAAGACCTTACCTTTACTTGTTTTACTGTGATAATAAATCAGGGAACAACAACTCTGATCTTGGGGTCTTGTGATGGAGAAATAAGGTTCTATATTTACAATTCTACCAAAAGTACCTATGGTCTGTAACAGGTATCAACAAATCACTGCTGCTGTTATTATTATTGCTACTGATATTCCTTTAAATTATTATGTGTAGAGGCCTCCAAAGGGGGAATTAAGTATGTGAGTACAAAAGGAAAGGAAATGAAAGGCAAAAAGAACAGCCAACTTGTATGTTCAGTCTTCAGTGGAGAAATTCTCTTATTCTAAAAGTTAAAATAAATCATAAAAAGTCAGGAAAACAGCAGGCCCACTGCCCTGAGATGAGAAGGATAGTGCCTTTGGCTCCTCCAGCTTTTGCATTTTCTGGACTTTTATTGGAGCACACATTTAAAATTCACTGGGCTGTGTGGCAAGCTACCTTTCCTCATTACTCCTTTTCAAAATGTAGGTTGCCAGACTGTAATGTAACACACATGTTTCCTGCAGACAGCCTTCTCTCCTGCCCCAAAACAAGTTGGAGCCTCACAATACTCAAAAATAATGAGCAATGATTTCTAAAATAAATGGAATCAATTTTCTCCTCTTAAAATCGGTGAAAATGTGCTCATATCACACTCACAGGCATTTCAGAACCCAGGATGCACTAGGCTCCTGGTTTATCTTGAAATAAAAATGTCTCATAGTCAATTGTTTCCTTTAAGAATTCTGGAGGTTCCAGCGTGCGTTTCTCAGGGACACCGTGTGGACAGACTTCACGACATACCTTAAGTTGTGTCACTGTTTCAGACCAGTCCAGTGTGACTATAATGAATACGTTGTGTCCCTTCGTGGAAATCTGTCCATTGAAAAAGAGCTGTCCTGGGTATAAGTGGGTCCTGTGGGCTTTCTCTAAGTCCAGGAGTTATTTAGGATCATTTAGAACGGAATGGGGTTTACAGTAATGTCTATGACAAACAGATCTAAAACAATGAACCTAACAGATGGTGAGTACTTGGGAGGCATTTAGATTTTTTAGAGCTGTATTTCAGTAACCATAGAGGAAATTTTAAAAGAGACAGAAAATATTTTCCATTAGGAGAGGATTTGTTTATTCTGTTTAACTTAATCAGGAAAATTGGCTTCATTTGTTCTGAGAGTTTCAAAGGGTTTTCTGAAATTGGGCAGGGATCACTGGCCAAATGCACATATATGAATATTAACGGCTGTGGTAATTACTGTCGTGTACTGAGCACACAGTGAGCTAGGAACTGGACAATACCTTTAAATATAGTCTGTTCAGCCCTTCAGAGCAGCTCCACAGGACTGAGGCATAAGGTAACTGCCCCAGGCCACATGCTGCCAGGAGGACACCTTCTTACGAGCAGGCCAACCCGCACCCCAGTGATCTTTCCCAGACAATGGGCTTCCACGGAAACAAAAACTATTTGAGGGCTGAGGATATAGCTCAGTGGCATAAGCGCCTACTTGGCACGTGCAAGGTCTTGAGTTCAATTCCTGGTACCCCCCCAAAAAAACCAAAAACCAAAAAACAAACTATTTAAAATTATATTCCTAGTTTGGGAACAAAACAAATAGGTGATTTTAGAAATGAATGAGTAATGAAAAAGAAGGCTCTGGATCCTGAATCTACACTATCTTCGACCTTTCCTCTTCAACATTTTCTGGCTTGCAGAGTTGGTGTGCTTGAGCTAGTGAGAGATGAGCTGAACTAATGGATAATTGCTACTTTATGGATGACAATGAGAATTATGCAGATCTCAGCGATTTCTTCTCATCTCTGCAACTCAAAATGCAAATAGCATACAGTAGAGAAATTCTGGAGTGACTGTTACACTGACCTAGTTAAGACATTTGTTATACAGAATTAACATAATCAAGAAATTGCTGGACCCAGAAGGGATGCTAAAGCTCTTACAACTCTGTCTGTACTTTCAAAGGGAGAAACTAAACTCACAGAAGTTAAGTGACTCATTATAGGGAATGTTTTTACACACATCTAATAAAATAAAGCCAGTTGGAGTTAAAGAGGCAGTGTATATAGCAGCAAAAAGCAGAGAGTTTGGCTGGACAGACCTGGGATGAAGCTCCAGATTAGCTATTTATAAGATGTGGAAGCAGAGAAAAATATTTAAATGGAGGCTCATTTCCCCCCAGTCATAAAATAGATATCTAGGTTGTTGGTTGCATTAGGTGTTGTATTAAATAATGATAAAGCAACAGGTGCTTGGAGGCACTAAATAAACAACACACAATATGGACAGGGAGCTCCTTTTTATATAGTACTCCTTGCAATGAGATTTGTACTCTGGTAAATGGGCGTCAGTTAAAAGTATGGAAAGGTAGTAATCACACTATTCTATTTAGCACTGTAGTAGTTAAAAGGAAGTCCGTTTTGGTGAAAGGGTATCCCTTGGTTTCTTAGTGTGGAAGATAAGGTATTATTGGTAAAAGGTGTTGTCCACTTTTTTAAGCCCTGTGAGTGTGCCAGAAGGAACTCCCCTGGATATTTTGCTGAAGTAGCAGCCCTTTAATGAAAAGCACCTTCTGAATTGCCACTTCTCCAGTAAAACCTTAACCTTTCCTTGAATGTAAAGGCCAGAGTTAGCACACGATCATACTTTCTCACTTAGATACCAGACAATATAATGTCACAGTAAATTTCTTGTCCTGGGCAAATTTCTGCTAAATGTATCAAATGCAAAATGAACTTAGTTTCATACCTTTTGTAACTGTTCAAAAATGTATGACAGCGTCCTCGGGATGATGCCTCTGTCGCTGTAGCGCTCAGCCCCACCCGTGATGGTGAAGGTCTTGCCACTTCCTGTCTGCCCATATGCGAAGATGGTGCTGTTGTAGCCTGCCAGGACGCTGCAAAAAAAAAAAAACAAAAAAAACAAAAAAAACAGGCTTTTAATATCAAAATTGTTACGTGCATTTGCATTAGATGGCTCACATTCTAGTGTTAATCTTCTGAAATGCTACTGTAAAGACAGTAATGGGAAATTCTACAGGAACATTTAAGTATGTGCCCACCTGGCCAGAATTTACATTTTAATCCAGAAATAGCAACACATTGAACCTTTCCTTCTAAAAAGGACATGTAACTCAAATGCAGTCCAGTCATCTCAAATGTTTTCTTCTATTTTAATATGTTGGAGTTGAATCAGAGTATGTTGAAAAGTGAGTCCTGGAAAAATAACACCTACCATTCGGTCAACTGTCCACTTGACACCTGGTATCTTGCATAGTGAATACTGACAACGGTCATCATTTCTGAGGACACCAGGCACACATCATGTTTGCCACTTTGTACCTTGTCATGTAATTCCCTGCTCAATACTCAGTACCAACTGGGAAACCCTCTAGGAATTTTGCTGCTGTCCTTTCTTGGAATGACTTTCTTGTAAGCAATGCTGGTCAGTAGTGTGTGGCAGCCCTGCAGAGCAGCCCTTGATTAGACGGTGGTCTTAGGAGCCCTGAACGTGGTTGGCCATTGCAGGCCACCACCTGTAGTACAGGCTTCTGACAATGTGCATGACATGCTGCAGACTTTTTCAAGTGTGGGTCTTTTATCTGTGGCACACAGAACAGTAAACTCTTGCAGCTTTTCTTTCTTCCTTCCTTTTTGTTACAAGTGGCTCCTTGATCTGCAAGATGTTTTCATCAAGCCAGCTATGATGATGTCAGCTAATGGTACCCACATTGCAAGTGGTGTTTTAAATACATAGCTCCCCTGAGATCACTCTTTACCATTCACACTGGGCTTTCTGCTGTACGACTTCTGCTGAGATCCTGTCCACAATTCTCTCTAGGCCTCATTACGCCCTCGTGCCTAGATGCTGAGTGATGTATCACCCTAATTCCCTCTCAGAATACACGTTGTGCCTACAGCTCATTCTGAAGTGGTCAGTTAAGTCCTCAACATCTTATGCAAGCAGAAACTTACATAATGTCTTCAGCTACAAATGAATGCATGCTTTGATCAGTAAGCAGGTATTGTCAGTGCTTACAAACTTAAAGGACTTAGTAAGAAAGGAAACAAAAATGAATTACTACTGTGTGGTTTAACTTTCTACTTTTGAGAATCTTATCTTTTTTCTTCATGTGTCTGCTCATGGTGAAGGTACGCTGTTGAAATTCTCAGCTTGTTAAGATGTTTGAGTCACCATCGTGCATTTAGGTGAGTGATTATAAAATCTTTTTCCTCAACAGAATTTGTCACCAGTAAAACAGAAATGTTCCATTAGCAAAATCATTTGGAAATGCAGTACTTCTCGGCCATAAATGCTCAAAGTAAATGAAGTCTGTAAGAATCAAATCATAAACACTGTATTGATTCTTGATAGAGAACAAAGAATACACAGCACAAATTAACATTTTCATTTTGACACAGTATAGCCTCTGAAGTGAGTAATCTATCATCATGTCCCATTGATGCCCACTGATTGCTATATCTACCTTCTTATACTTAGCTCTTCTCTCTCACTGTTGGCTGTCCCTGCACATCTGCCTCTAATATGTAACCCTGCTCCCTTCATGTGCTGTGGGACAGAAAACCAGAAGGTACAGGTTCAAAGAACCCTATATAAAATAAAAAGTATGTACACTCCACCTACAGATACTCCCATGGCTATTTATTACACTGCTACAATAAAATTTGTTAAAGGAACGAGAACAGGCAAATTCTATCTCTAGTTCCTTTGTTTAGAAACCTCCTCATTCCAGTTCAAGCTTCTGTTTACTCTTCATTGGGCCCTTGGCATTTTCATGTGCTTCCAGTGTCATCTATCCTTAGAAAGTACATGGATTAAAAATAAAGAGAGCGAACTGGCAGTGTAAAATATTTTGAAAATCCATTCCTCTACAGGAACAATGACATGAGTGGCAAAAACTGTCAAAACCAACTTTTTCAGAACTCTGGAAATCATCCAAAGGTGCACAACAATCCAAGGATTGCTTAAGAAAAACAGCTGAAACTCTGCAGGAACAGGGAGTTCTGTGGTATTTTAGCTTGAAAATTCCCAGCCCTCTTTCCATAGATCCAGGATAGCCTTCAAAAACAACAGCCTTAAAACCACAGGAGCTGTGGAAACCAGCAGCCTGTCACTTAATGAGGCAATATAAAGGATCTCTTCGTAAAGTCCCATTCCCAAAGAAATGCCACTCTCTGCCCTTCCTGGAAGCTCCCTAGAAAAGCTTCACTTCCAGTACGAAAGTTGTCTGTGGCATGGCTCAGACCTCTCTTGGAGTGAGCAGCCCAAGGTGTTTGTTGAAAATAATCAGTGGCAAGTGTTTAACATCATAGCTGCCTGAGGGTGCAATACCAGTGAGGTAAATAAGAATGTGACCAAAATCTTTAAAATTTGTGGAATAAGTTGTCTGTAATTAAGGTGATTTGAAAAGCTCTGACGTATTCCTGGGACTCTAAAAGGCCACATATATGTTCAGGGCCACGTGCATGTCCAGATAAGACTTGAGAAGGGCATTTTCTCTCACCTCTGGTTGGCTTTGAGCTTGCACAAGCAGAAATGGTGAGATAAAGCGGAAATTGAGACTGGAAGTGTCTCAACACACAAGATCTCTTCAGTGTGAGGTCAGAGACTGACAGGTTCAAGACATAAGGAAATCTCTATCTGGTCAATTAGCTGACCACTAAGCTAATTGAGAAGAGATTTCAGAGGCTGTATGTGACAAAGATACAAGGCAAACAAGAAGGTGACCAAAATTTAAAAGAAAAATCTATAGAATAAGATGTCAATAAGAGGTTTTGAAAAATCACTAACATATTCAGGTGCAGATGTTACAGATTTCGTCCAGAATAGTTGCTAAAGAAACAAGCAGCAAAGCAAAAACAAGAGCAAGCAATCCTGGGAGGGAGGAAATTTGATTTCCAGGGTTATTACAGTCTAGTACTTAAAATGTTAGCTTTAAAGCAGAAAATATTGCCCATACGTATGAAATAAAAGGGTAAATGGAAGCAGTCCCTAAAGAAGACAGATGTTTTACTATGCAAAGGATAGCTATTACAGATGTGTTCAAGGAACAGAAGTAAGCATGGTTAAAGAATTAAAGGAATATATGATAATGATGTTTCACAAAACTGAGCACATCAATAAAATGATAGAAATTATTTATAAAGAACCAAACAGAAATTCTGGGGTTGAACACTGAGACAACCAAAGTTAAAACAGAAAATTTGAGTTGGCAGAAGAAGCAGTGAACTTGAAGATGGTTTCATTCAGCTTTATCCAGTTTAAGGAACAGAAAGGATAAAAAGAATAAAAAAAAGGAACAGGGAACCTCAGAGACCAACATACACATAACGGGAGTCCCGGAGAAGAGAGGAGAGAATATTTTTTTATTTACTTATCTTAAAGAGAAAAAAAATGAAAACAAAATAACAACTACAAGAACTACAAAAACAAAACAACACAAAACAATAAAAATGACAAAGACTTTCAGAACAAGGTGATAGGAAATAAACACACCATGCACCAAAGTCAAGTCAAAACGGATCACAGATCTCAATATTAAAACAGAAACACTAAATTTATTGGAAGAGAAAGTAGGTAAAAACCTTGAAGACATAGGGGTAGGCAGAGAGCTCATGAACAAAAACCAAACTGCCTGTGAAATACTTCAAAGAATCAACAATTGGGATCTCATTCTACTGGAAAGTTTCTGCACACCTAAAGAAATCACCAGCAGAGTAAAAAGAAAACCCACAAATTGGGAAAAAATTTTAGCTGTCTGTCCCTCAGACAAAGGTCTTCTATCTAGAACA